ATCGTGCTACAGTACGAGCATTAATCATTCCAACTCGTACAACGGTTGCCCAGAAGAACACTTTGGCCGCACAATCGCTGAGGCTGCTAATGTCCTAACCTCAACCGATGTGAAATTTGAATAGTATTGCATTAGTGCCTGTTGTGCCAAAGAGATCTGCCATCCAATCTCCCCTTGATCTCAATTTCCTAATGTTTTCCTCATTTGGTCTTTTCATCCTGGTTGTTCAGTGATCAAGCCTTCCTTTCGTCAAGATACTACGACCCTCCAATTGAGTTCCCCTTGAGCGCTGGCAGTAGTGCTGAAGATCCAAGTTGCGGTGACGCACTAGTTTTCACCTAGTTGAAATAGCGCAGTATTTCCACGTGAAATCAATTAGACCCTGGGACGAATACCGACCACGTGAGTACAACTGCTACACCGTGCAGCGTGGATCGCCTGTACATCCTTACAGTCAAGCCCTACGTCCTGTCTAACCAAATCGTTTGTACATATAACCTCTCCTTCATCTTTATGATATACGGGTTCTCAGAATCTTCAGCCATTTCTATACCACAAGAATGCTGAGCTATGAGCGAAGTCTAACCCCAAGCGGGACTCAAACCGGCAACTTCAGGCAGCGTCCAGACTCCCCAAGCGGGACTCAAACCGGCAACTTGGGCAGCGTTCAGACTTCGCGACGGCAGCGCTTCGGTCGCGCGATTCGACGATCGATGCGCATGCTTTCGACTGCATCGATCGCGTCGAACGCGCGACCGAAGCGCTGCCGTCGCGAAGTCTGAACGCTGCCTTACAGCTTCCGGACGAGTGCACAATCCGTCATGCCACCAGAGCCGCTCCTACCTTCTCAGTTTGGCGGCTTTTATGCCGTAGCCTTAGAGCACTCACACCATCAACATGGTGAGCCGCTCAGCGGATAGTAGCGCACTATCCGGGAAGGCGCAAGGTGCTGGTTCGAGTCTTGGGGTCAGATTTTGACTGAGTCATCATTCTTGTGATAGCTTCCGGAACGCTAAACTTCATTCCTTCGACTTCAACCCTATCAGTTACCCCCCCCCTATTCCTATCGCGCCCTAGGACGCTTTTCGTAAGAAATCTCTTGGCGAGAACCACGCATACTGACCTCGTAGGTGACTCTCCGATGTCACCTACGAGGTCAGTATGATGATCGGCTGCCTTTTCCGATGTTACCTAGTAAATGTCATAACTCCTACGAGACATCCCTGATGGTTGTGCCTTTCTTGCTTGTAACGTGTACATTGTGTCACTCATGTTGTAATACTGTAATTCATACGGAAAATGATTATGACAAATGAAAATGCCAAATAAAAATAGAAATGAGACTATGAACAGCTCAAACGCGATATTTCAACATTGAGCTGCTCTACAGCGTGTTACCTAATGTTACAATGGCATGCATACTGTGAAGAAAAAAGTAGAGCTAAGGGGAGAGGGGGGGGGGGGGTGGCATAACGCGCTTGGGCGGTATTTTCTCAGCCCAGCTGGAGAAGGATGACCACTGTCTCGATGAGGGGCGCAGACGAGCAGGTTAGTCGCGCAGCCGCACACCCCTTACCCCCTCCCAAACGAACCTTAGCCCAAAAAAATATAGACAAGTTCTTGCAGAAAGTCTACATTACAACAAAACAAGCTACATTGAAAAGCTTAACATACCAACTCGAGGAAGCAGTGCAGTTCAGTTGCGCTACGTCACGAGAGTACTGTAACTCCTTCTTCGGGACCAACGGGGCTACCTACAAGCTCCATCGCGATTCCCTCATCAAGGATGTCTCCCCACGATACTAAAGGAAACAAGAGTTAGAACTAGAACTGCAGAAGCAGAAACAAACGGGCGACGACAACTTGTGAAGCAGGTTGGTGCCGCGTCAAACCCATCCCTGTCAAGCCTCCGGCATCCGGGAAGAACTGAACTGTACTATAATATTCGTATGCAACCGAACTGCACATCTCATTATCTGTCATGAAAGCTCCTACTAAGGGAACAGAGAATCGATCGACGGTCCGAAAGAGATCATTCCATCTCTCAGTTTCAATTTTGACAAAACAAATAGAGATGATAGGAGCATATTTCAACCGAAGAAGTAAGTTCTATGACTTATAGCATATGTCTTGACATCAGAAACCAACAACACTTTGGAAAAGCTTTTAATAAGTCGTAATTTTCGAAAAAAATTCCCACCGGGTTTGAGAAATATATGACACGAACTGCACTGTTTCTCGTACTCTTTGTATTCTTTCAACGCCGCGCTGCAGCTCGTCGTCGCCTTCGACGTTGGAACGCTCCATCCAACTCCTAGATAATTTAGACTATTTCCAGCTGTTTTGTCAGCTTTTCTAGCTGCAATAAATTCTGCGGATATTGAAACAGTTCACGATTGCGTGACTAAAGGGGTTCAAGTACGAATGTCACTGTACTATGCAGGAAATAACCAGAAAAGGCTTCTCCATAATCGGTCCCGGGATGGGGTGGGATCCCCACAGCATTCAAATAACATGATTATAAGAATTGCGCGAGCATAGGGAAAGGAAGGCGGGCTTAAAAAAACAGACGACGAAATGGCGAGAGAATACACGGACGAAAGAACCGCACCGCCATAAAGCGACCGCAAAACGAAAGGAAAAGGTGGAGCTGACCCTTGCCAATCCTGCCATTGGTTTTCGAGAAGCAAAAGCGGTACCTCCTCTATGCGTGTGGACCGGCTACCATGCGCAAAGAACGCACTCTATACATCAGGTAATTGTGTTCTCAAAGGTTTTCGCATTATTACATCTGACATATTATCTCTACAGAATTATGTCGTTCGAGCTGCATAGACTCTAAAAAGTTGTGTGAACCCATCATTCACTTCTTATGCAAAAAAAAACTTCGCACCATCAAGGCATTGGTGAAAATTCATGTTTGTTTGAGTCGCTATGTTTGATTCGTTGTGATAGGGTTTACAGCTGGATTTACTGCATGGGATCAAAACTAATTCACGCACTTGGAAGTGGTGATCAGCCTGTTCATCTGCGCCTTTTCGCCAGCACAGTGACCATCTATTCCCACAGCAACAGGCCAAACAGTAGGCTACTTTGTCTATATCACCCCCCCCACCTGTAGCTGGAACACTGTTCGGTTTCTCAGCACGGGATTAAAAACGTCCGGAAAATCCTCAAGACAATAAAGTACGTGGCTGTTCAATACGGTAGCTGCACAGGAACACGAAATAAACTATTTTCATGCTTGTGTTGATAACTGCACCACGCTACTCATAACTACCATTTATGAAGCCCATATCAGCGAAAACAAAAGAAAAATGACTTTCTCTCTGTTATTCAACTTCCACCAGTATAGACTAACACATATGGTACATACAGATTTGCGCGCAAAATCGCCATTTTGGAAGGGTCATTGCCGCTATGGAAAAGGACGAACATACTTGTGATCGAAAATCTTTTATGATCTGTCCGTATCAGAGTTTCCCAGCATTATAGTCTGTAGTTTCGCAGGACTAGCGCATTTTAGTCCCGTTATGCTGACCCTGCCGTAACAGGGACATCTCCCACAAGCAATCACAAACACCGCATTGTCTAGTGATAATATATATTTCTATGGAAAAAAAACTAATGAACTCTTCAACTCACGCGAAACAACACCATAACTGACGCTTGCGCTCACGTTCCCGAAATTTTTGCGTGTATACTTCAGCAACAACATCACCTGGCATCTGCGAAAACTGCATTCGAGACAAATCTTCTTCCTAAAATGTGAAACTTTCAATTTTGCTACTCCGCTCTCTTAAGAAACTTTTTTTTGACCTTCTATCACTTGATCCTTTCCAACTGAAAATTATTGTTAATTCGGGTGATATATCGAAAGAGCATAAAGGCGAAACTGTTGGACACTTCAGGACTCCTAAGAGCACTACTCTTCAAAATCCAGAGGCAGAGGGACAATAATGTCATTCACTGTGAACTATAGTAGTAGAAAGGATTTCTATCAGTAACGGGCGACGGCTACCAACCGGAGGAGGACAGTCGTGTGGATCAGCGCACGCCACAAAGAGTTCCAACTATCCTACTAATATAATCGGCTATGTCCGTGTGTCGGTGTGCTGTGTGTTTTGTGCGTTTGGTGGTGTGAGTACTCGTGGTTGTCACGAACTTCATATGCACCTGAAGAAGACTATGGCGGTCGGTCAGGTGGATGGATAGAGCATGGGACGAAACCTAAATTAGCACTCATACCATGGTAAGCCCGCCATCAGTGGCGGGCTGGGCCCGTCCAAATTGGGCGAGTCACTGAAAAAAGGTCATAACTCGGTTCCAGAGCACTCTCCGAGATGAGGAAACAGTGCAGTAAAGTAACAAAGGCCTGACCGACCAAACAGAGGAGATACACTTGAAATGGGCGGGGCGTACTTGAGATGGGCGGCGCTTCCCGTGTCACTGAAAAATCCCTATATACTTGCCCTACCAAGCAATGTTCGGAGACATTAGAAGGGATTTGTCAAGCTCTGTTGGCCCGCCAAATGAGAGGAGACCCCGCGTTCCACAAAGTCGGTAAACTCGGTCCCCGAAAAGTTTAGGATCGCAGAAAAGTCCACGGCGGAGATTAACGTCTGACAAGAGTTCACCATGTTTACAGCATGCTGAGGCCTGCCCACAGAGGGCGGGGCGTGCATTGAGCAACGAGAAACATCATAAAATCGTAGTTTGTCCCAAATCACTGACAATCGTCCAAAAAGTGTAAGGTCCCCAAAGTGATCAAATGTAAGAATGTGCGAGGCACTCAAGCTGTGGGGCGGGGCCTGCACCGTGGGGGGCGGAGCCAAATTCGTTAAGAATTCGCACAACGATTCCAGAGCATCTCTATAGACACCGGGAAATAGTTAAGATCAGCGGCGGCCTATAACCGAAAGCGCGAGCACACGTGGGCGGGCGTTCCCGAGGTGAGGGTAGAGCCAAAAGTCAAAAAACATTCTCAAAACGGTCCAGAGCACTTCCAGACACCTAGAAAAAGTAAGTTAAGTAATCAGGAGGAGGCTAACGAAATGTGTGCGAAGGAAGTAAGCGCGCCGAGGCCGCGCAGCTATCCTAGAAAGGCGCGCCGTGAGCAGCGGCGTAGTGAGGAATTAAATGCTGAACAATGATGTTTCTTAATCTGAATTGAACCATCTTGAAACAGCTATGTGATGAACGCTCTCAATTACCATCCAGTCAACCAGGCCAAGGTAGTCTTGAAAGTTTTTGGTGATCAGGAAGAATTGATCACCAATAACGACATAATGCTCCACTTAAATACTGCTGAAAAAGTGACGGAACTCTGGATAGAAATGAAAATATAGTTAATTTAGTGTTGCTCCGGCAAATTCTCAGCGTTGTTTATGCATAGTATTTTTGACAGTCATTTGCTAAACTGAAAACCTATTCTCCCTTTCGTCTCAGTAGTACATCCTTTAGAAATTATTTGCGCTATGTCGTTTCACCATTGCTTGGGTAACCCCCTTTCCTCAAACTTTATAGCATGTCAGAATAGAGCAATAAGGACGTAATTTTTCTCAACGATATGGGTCTATCCGCAGTCGTGACAGCTCGACAAATTAACCAGGTGTGGAGGCGCAATAGTGTTGGAAAAAGCACCGTGGACAATGGTTCGACAAATTTCGTTCTGGAGATTTCAGCCTCGAAAATGAACCTCGTAGCGGTCGACTAAAGCAATATCTGGCGAGGATCTGATAGTCGTTCGTTGGAGGCTGACCATCCCAAACAGTTCGAGTGATTGCAGAAACTAGGCTTGGCAATATACGCTTTGAGATGGTCTAAACATTGAGAAGGTGAAAACTCGATAAGTGGGTGCCCCACAATTTGAGTGACCGGCAGAAATTGGCACGTCTCGAGGTTTCTTCTTCACTGCTTTTGCGCAACAGAAACGACCCGTTTTTGGACCGAATTGTCACCTGTGATGAAAAGTGGATCATGTTTGATAAAAGGTGACGTTCCAGACAGTGGTTGGATTCCGACGAACCACCGAGGTAATTTTCAAAGCCGAACCCTCACGAAAAAAGATTCTGGTCACGGCTTGGTGGTCATCGGTGTGATCCACTATAACTTTTTATCACCAGGCCAAACCATCACAGCAGAACCGCTCGGCCCCATACTGTGAAGTATCGACGAAAATGTACCGAAATGCGTCAAGCTGCAGCCAGCCACAGAAAGGCCCGATTTTTTTTTGCATGACAACGCCCGCCCACACGTTTCACAAATCACTATCCATAAATTGAACGAATTGGGGGTTGAAGTTCTACCTCAACCGCCATATTCTCAGACCTTTCACCAACCGTCAAACATTTTCAGTTCTTCCTGCTGAGAATACTTCATTCAAATCAGACCAGGCAAAAAAGCCTACATGACTTGTGATCTCTACCACCCAGTTTTCTTTGATGGATTATCGAATAGCGTGATTAAGTTGCAAAGTGTCTTATTCGACGTGTTATTTCGATTAATCCGCATGAGTATTAAGAGAGTATGATGTTCAAAGTGAAAACACTCAAACGCCTATGTTCCGAACAACTAAGGTGCCCAGAATCGCGTTATTGGGAACGTACAATCTGCAGAAATCCAAAATTCGCAGAATCGGTTTCACTTCCAAGGGCTCAGCGATCAATCCCTATCAAATCTTTGTCCTCATTTCGGCATCCTTAATGTCGCATTTGGAGTTTCTCCCAGTTCCTATTTTTTTCATTTACTCTTTAACTATGCGTGCAGTGTGACCAATCCCAGTTCTCATTTATCAATCTTTATGTATGAAGCATTTCAACACCGTCGAGAACTCACCTTAATCGAAGCAAGTTTGTCTACCAAAACGCTCATTGTTGAACTATTCGGGTCACAATGTGAAACTGCACAAGTAACCTGAAAGCGTCACAATCATTCTTTCGACATTAAATCGTCCCTACAAGCAAAACTCGGTATATCACTTATACCAATACATAAAACATCGTTTTTAACTAAAAATGTCCACCTGGCATAATCACATCCGAGTCCGAGAGTGTTCGCAAACGGGCGACAAATTGCTTCCACATCTTGCTACGGATCAGCTTATCTCAAACGTGACGCAAACACGCAAAATTAACGACACATTAGCTACTGTAAAAACGGTAGCATTCATTCGATGACTATCAACAATTTCGTTGAACAGCTACAGTCGCTTCGCGCTGTAAGACGCTGAGGCGTGGGTCGGAGGAAAATGGTACGATCACACCTCCGTTAATTATGCGTCAAATCATCGGTGCCACAAGTTAATGAGTTCAATCGTACCATTTTCCTCTGACCCGGCTAGATTTGCGCAGTGCAGGCCTTTCCAACTGTTGTAGTGGGCAAGCGACAACAATCGGTGGAGAGAGGGCTGACAGCACGTTAGCTTCAGCGCCCTGAACGGCCCAGCGTCTGCAGCGAAGACGATTAGAAATGAAGCTTTCTCAGCATCTCACCTGTTAGTGGTTTCCGCATTGGACAGAAGAAAATACAACGAAAAAACTCCAGCATGTCGCAAGGTTTAATGTCATCTATGATTAGAGAATTGTGCGCTTCTTCACCAAAGCAATAATGGGCGAAAAACGAAGACAGCTCTGCTAACCATCCAGCGTTTACATAGCTGAAAATTTTGAAAAATTATTCAACTCCACAAATCTTGAAGGGCAAAACTAAGGAAAAACAAAATCTAATGTCTTTCTAGACAGATAAGAAAATCTTACGAAAGCTTTCTGCAATTTTCGATTCTCTACAGTTCTTCAGTTAGCTAGCACTGTCCTATTGTTATACATTATAGATCCAAATAAAGTTTTAGGAGAGCACACTAATTGGTAGAGTTCTCGCTAGACTTCAATACAGAAATCCTACAAGCATCCATAAACTCTAGTTCATTTTTTTCTAAGAATTTATCTCATTTAGTTGTTTAAGCATACAAGCGTACTCGAAATCCCTAAGCTGTGGTAGGCGTGGCTGCGTACTTCAACTAGACGTGGAGGTGACTGTGCTTTTGGTGAGGTATATTTTTTTATTTTGACACAATTGTGGTCATGTCTCTGTCCAGCACTGAACAAGGTGACAGTTGCCTCAAACTGAAATATCCCACGAGTAACCCATTCTATGCCATGTTCACCACGTGCCACGCCTACTCCGTCTCAGGGACAAGGGTGCAAGTATGGAGAAAAATGGGCAATTATCACAAACAGACTAACAATGACGTATCTTCTACTATGATTTGAAAAGTACGCCATGGAGTCGGTACTGAGAAATTGTCGTAACACGACTTCGACACCACAATATCTTCGTTCATGTCGCCAAACACGGAGAATGGCTCAGCGGAATCCTGAATGAGAAAAAACGAAAATAAATAAACTTGATAACCTAATAAGCACCCACTGATCAGGCACAGCGAATCAATCAAACAAACGCTTCCTCACTTCTAAGAATAAATGAGAAGAGCGTTCAGATCCAAAATGAAACTAACGGCATGTCATCAGCTACCAGAGAAAAAAGAAGAGAAGACTTGGTAAATTGTATTGCAGATTAAATTCCAACGAGGCCGCCATTTCCCGTACACTTTCCAAACTCACCGCTTGCTTGACCCGGAACCTCGGGATTTCTGCCGCTCCAACCAAGGTCGAAAGACTGGAGGGTTCTTTTTCTGACAGTCGGAGTTCTGTCCTTTCTCGTTTCCAATTCCGGATTAGGAACACTGCGGGTCTGTTCATGTATTACGACTTGGGAAGGCGGGAGCACCCAAACTCAAGAGAGTAGAAGCATGCGCTTGATAAGCGGTAGAATACCAGATTAATGGGACAGGAGATTACGCGCCAAGAGAATGTGTATCCACCATTTCTCCCATTCTTTCGATATTCCAGATCAATAATTATACTTTCTTTTGCACCGCATTCCCTAATCCACCTACTTGTAAAGTATGAACGGCGCCTATCCGACCCACTTGGCGCGTTCCCCTCCTGCGGTTCTGGATATAGTCTTCTGGGATCGTATAAACCATCGCGCGGTTCGAGGTGAACGCTGCGGCAACATTTGGCTAATGCCGTTTGGACTCCAAGAATTTCGGCACCCAGCCCATTTGTAAATTGCCTAAGTCACCAAATCCGCCAAAAACTTGTATATAGGGGTAGTTTAACATCCTGATTAAGAATATGACATTCACTTTTGTCGCTGGCGTCAAGAGAGGACACTAGGATCACCTCCTAGGCTCAGCCTTAGCAGAGCGCAGATAATCGTAGTGTCATCCATTAGCGCCAGCGACAAGAGCGAATGACATATTCTTAATCAGGATGTTAAACTACCCCTATATACAAATTTTTAGCAGATTTGTGACTTAGGCAATTTAAAAATGAGCTCGGTGCCGAAATTCTTGGAGTCCAAACGGCATTAGCCCGAGTTTTACGCCTCAACGCTTCGTGGGTGGCATTTGGATCTTTCATGCCATCACCTTTCTTCATCACCCTGAGACTCATCTCCGAATATATGTTAACGCGCTTCTACCACTTGCTAACTGCCGCAACATGTATACAATCCCTATGATATACAGTAAATGAATGTTTTTTAAAAGAAACTTTTGCGACATCATGCATATATAACTATGCATAGAAGTGCTGCCCCTAGACAAACCACGTATTAATAGTTAACACAGTGATTTTAACACGTTGACGACAATCGCGTTTTGCGGGAAAGCGCCGCGTGGGACAATGGCGTGTTTTCGCATGCGTCCGCTTTGAGCCACCGGTGGCTCATATTGTCCCTCGTGGACCACTTTTTTGCCGCTATGTCAAATTTCGCAAAATGATAGTCAATCGTGCAGGGACTGCTATTTCAACCATCTTTGACCCTATTGGATGCCATCTCATGCCCCGCCCTCTGCGATCACGCCCACTTTTTAGCGCGATCGTGATTTCCAAAATGTGTTCCATAACTTCCGTTTCTAAGAATTTTCTTGGAATTTTCTGCTTTTCACACATTACAATGATTCATAGATGGCCACACCGACACATAGCCGGCCACGCCCACTTTTTAACAGGTTTGTTTTATATTTAATTTTCATACCTTATCTCAACGTTGACGCTTTCAAACACACTCTTCACATATTGCTCACAGACAAGCAATTGCACGAAGATGCATAAGGCTCTGCACTTAGCTCCGCCCACTTTAGATCGA